ATAATATATATAATATATATAATATGTATAATATATATAATATATATAATATATATAATATATATATAAATTCTTTGTATAGGTGCTTACTACGCATACTTCGTATGTGAGGGGCATTATCTATGTTGTTTAAAATATATATATATATATAATATTTTATATTTATATTATAATGCATATAATACGTATTTATCTTTGTATGGTTATGTGCATTAATAATATATGCATATATATATATGCATATATATATATGTATATATATATGTATATATATATATATATACATATATGTATATGCATGCAAGGAGGGTGAAGTAGTTGGTTGTCTGTATTTGTTTTTATACCTTCATTTAAACTCCACAGCCGCCCGCAGACATCTTTCAGACAGTCCTGAGCTGCTATAAAGGTTATTATTCTTATAGAAGCAAATGGTGCATATGTATATAATATATATATATATATGTATATATATGTATGCATATGTATATAATTATTGATGTAGATACTAGGTATATATTTAGATGTATTGATACAGCTACAGGTACAGCTATATATATATATATGTATATATATATATATATGTATATATACATATATATATGTATATATAGATATACATATATATAGAGAGAGAGGTGGATAGACAGATAGGTAGATATAGATGAATTTATATATATATATATATATAGAGAGAGAGAGAGAGAGAGAGAGTTGTATCATCCTAAAAAGAATAACAATATTATCGTATTTACTGAGGCCCTGCAGCAAAGGAGGAAGATGCCTCAGAGCAATTATCGCAAAGAGAAGAGGCAAGCGAAGCAAACGAACATCTATCAATAATTAAAATGGATTGACTTCATTCAGTAATTCAAAGGATTTGTTATTAAAAGAGATGAGGAGGCTTGAGTTCGTATGTGCATGCATGCATATATGCATGTGTAATATATATATATATATATATATATATATATATTATAGATATCTATATATAATCTATATATATAAATATATATATTTAGATGTACGTATATGCATGCGGAGCAGGAAGCGCTGGCTTTCTTGTTTGTTTTGTTAGTTTTTCTTCGTGCTTAGTATAAATGAAAGAAAGAGAGGGGTAGGAAAAATAAAGTGTCTCTGAATGAAGTGTCTTTAGTGTTGCTTTTTTATTTATTTAGGGTTGAGGGTTGAGGATTTAGGGTTAAGCGATTAGGGTTTAGGGTTTAGGGTTTAGGGTTTAGGGTTTAGGAAGGAAGAAGATATCTGCTTTTTTGACAGATGAGTTGACGTTAAGGGTATTGATTGGCCTCTTAAGAGTTTAAAGATTTGCAAATAATTAAAAATAATGCATTCAAATGCATTATTTTTAATTTATTGTCTTATTTATTAACATCTTCCGGTGTATCGACACCTCATGCAGTGAAGCCCTACTGGCGGCCCACTTCTTCAAAAAGAAGTAGAAAAAGAAGTTTTTTAGTTTATTTTTTTCTGCTTATTTATTATTTAATTTATTATTTATTTAATATTATTTTTAAAAACAAGTTTGCATGATCGCAAGTTGTGTATATACACCAGCAATACAGCTGAGCAGCCCCAGCATATATACCTTCACCGCTCTAGGTGTTACATAGAAGAGGGCAGTTTAGAGTTTTCTTTGTATTTCTATTGTTTTTTATGAGTATATTTTGAATTATTTATTTATTTTTTTGATTGCTTGAAGATATTTTCTCTTATTCTTCAAGAAAGACGCATTAAACTGTGGGCGGAGCCTCTAGGGGCCCTCCCCACAGCCACACAGTAGGGATAGCGTGTGAAATGCGATAAAAAAGAAAAGAAAAACAAACAAAATTAAAATTAATTAATTATATTTTATTATTTATTCTAAAAGCAAAGAAGATGGAGTCTGGAGGGCTGAAGGTGAAGGTGCGTTTGTTTATCTTAGTTTGTTTTATCTTTTTAAATAATATATTTTTTCTTTATTGTTCCTTCTACAACAATAACACCCTTAAAAACCTTCTTTCTTCTTCATTCTTTGACCATACACCCTAACAGATATATCTAAATCTGTTTTAATCATATATTTATGTTTATTTTGTCTGTATTACACAAACAAGTATAATATAGATAGATAGATTAATAAGCTCACCTTCTGTTGTTTTTCTTTATTTTTCGTTTGTCTGTTAATTTTATTGCATGCATATTTTCTTTGTTTGTTTGTTTATCTCTTAGGACCTTCCCCCGGTGCTCTCTGCTTCTTCTTTGATAGATGTTTGTCTCTCAAAGACTCAAAGAAAGACACCGACAGAAATCCACAAGAGAAGCAATATCAGCGTTATTAAAAAATTTTATATACGTAAAGTTAAGGCGTCTTCAGAGTTTTTTACTGAGAAGTTAAAACAAATTACTCAAAACTTTCCTAAGCTTGATGTAAGTCTTTATTGTTTTATTTATTTATTTGTCGTTGGTTCTTGCTCGTCTTTATTATATTTATTTATTTATCTTTTATCCTCTCTGCTGTTCTTTATTACATTTATTTATCTTCAATTCTCTCGTCTTCTTTACTATATTTATTTATTTATCTTTTATGCTCCTTCGTCTTCTTTATTATTGCTGCAGATTCTTTTATCTTTGCTTCTATTCATTTACTTTGTTATTCATTTCAGCGTTGCTTCCTTCTGTCTCCTTCTTTGTTTAGTGCTGTTGCTGTTGCTGGTGCTGCTGCTGCTGCTGCTGCTGTTGCTGCTGTTGCTGCTGCTGTTGCTGCTGCTGCTGCTGCTGCTGCTGTTTGTATGAATTTGGTTTTCAGTCTGCTACCTCAATACAATTTTTGTTTTTTGTGTATTTATTTATTGACGATATAACTTTGATATTATATTATGTTTTACTCTACTTCATATTGTGTATACAACCATATATATATATATATATATATATTATATAT